AAGTATACCTTTGAAGAATCGCTAACCAATTGCAAAGCTTGAATCGTTGGAAATGCAATGAACCTTCAAGTCACCACACTGTTGTGCTCCTGTTGCTTCAGTGTAGTAGCAATGGAAATGCGGGGGGATCGTCTAATCTCTTGAGTTTTAGCAGTCCCCTTGTTTTTTGCATGCTTACTATCCCTCGGATGAAGACTCTGCTGATTTGATGGTGGATGGAAGTCACAAGCAGGATTTATTGATAAACCTGTCAATGACCGTCTTATGTTAATACGAGTTGCTAATTCAACAGTCTACTTAGACTATGTTTCAGGGGAAGGAAAATAATGAGATAAAATATGGAGAAAGCCAATTTATCTTGTTTGGGAAGGGAAACTAAACAGGGTGGGAAAATGCCTTATTTCCCTTCCTTTTCTCTCTCTTTGTCCAAAACAAAAGGAAAAAACTACTATATTTGGACCATGCTAGGGGGCACCCCACATCTCACTATTCCTCTCAGAGCCATTCACAGAGACTCGTTACGTTAATGTTCAAAATATGTGGATGTCTATGAGAAGGTTGGGGTGAGAGTTGGATTGACTTTAGCATTTTCAAATGTATTTTCTTAACTCTATCCTACTTTTTGAAATTATTGTGTATTTTACACGGGAACTTTATAAAATGGATCTAGTACCTTCACCGGATTTTGTCTTCATCTCTCCATGTTCTTCTTCAGTTCCTCTGCATTCTTCTCCACTCAGTAAATCATGTTTGTTCAATTCATTTTTATGTTGAGCAGGATCCCCTTCACAAGGCAAAACATTAATTCCTGGTACGGTTTTCTTATCCTCTAGAAAATCGTCATATCTCCGGTTTCTCTTAGGTTGCCTGCCTGATCTTGTCCTCCCTTTCTCCAACCCTGCCTCTCCATTCAGCTTTTCTTCCCCATGTAATTTACTCGCAGAATCTTGTTGTGTTTGTCTGTTTGGTTCTTCTAGTTCTTGAACAACTTTTTTCAGTCTAGTAAGCCTTCCCCCATTTTGCTGCCCTTGCATGCCGTTTGGTTCTGCCAAAACAACTTCCGTGCACTTTCTTTTGGATCTTTTCTTCCCAGATGTTGTTTTAAGTGAAGCACACTCCTGTTCTGTTGTTTCATCACTTTCGGCATTCCTCTTTGCGTTTTTAGAATCCTGCTTTGGCTTAGACTTTGACTTCTTCTTTCTCTTATTGCTTGAGCCTAAGTTAGAAGTAGAAGTGCATTCTTTTTCACCACCAAGTGCATAAGATCCATGGGTAGTCTCAAAAATTTCACCATTTTCACGGAGATTCACAAGATGATGTGAAAGTAAGGTTTCATGAGCCCATGGCAAGTTAGGATACTGTTTCAGGATATAGTGTGATATTTCCTCCGCATTACAACCCCCTTCATTGTCTAACTTTTCAATTGCATTCAGAATCATCTGCATTAGACAATCAAAAACAAAAAACATGCTGAAATAACAGACCAGACCATGTTAAAAAAAAATTTAAGATAAGACACATTTACCAGGATCAAATTTGGTCAGTGTTGAAATGAATAAACATGTAAGAATGCCACAACTTACATAAACATACTATATTATCAATATCACCTAATTTTCGAATGAAAGGGAAAAGAATCATTCACTTTTATATTGCAAACTTCAGAGCATGAGCTTGAGGTAAAGAAGGAAGACAAACATGCAAAAGAAAGAAAGAGAGAAAAACTCATACTCCCTCCGTCCCAAATTAAGTGTCATTTTAGTCACGCCAAAAAAGTTACCAAAAGAATTGTCAGTGAGGAATTCAGTGCCTTTTCCTAATTAATATTCCAAATTTGCCCATATAAACTCTTCCCATGATAAATGATTTTGCATGTTGAAAATAAACGAATGTATTTCATGTTAAGCCAAATTGCCAGCATAATGAAAGAAGAGTCACTTTGTAAGATTCTTAACAAGTGTGTAATTTTCTAGAAAGCCAAAGTTTCTTTTCGCACCAACAGCACATACCAGGAAAGAAATACAAGTATAAAATTCTAGGTAAGCATGTTGGGCAAGTGATAGGTATACAGAAACGTCATGCACTCTTTTGGCTCAGCATTTTGTCTTTGAAAATTCTATCCAAGTAAAACAATCTTAAGTTAGGTGCTTTGTAAAGCGTTTAACGCCCAAAACACATCAAGAAATGACGTGTTGTAGCTTCTTGAATTTAGCATTTTGGGTTTTGTTATTTTTAAACTAAAATACTCCCTCCCGAACACACTCTGCCACACCCCATCTCACGTGTGTGTGGGCCTCATCCAAGAGGGACCTATCCACATAACCGTGTTCATTTTTGCATGAAGGTGTAGTTTAATAGTAGTAATGGTTGGTAGAATTGCAAAGAAAAGAGAGAGAGAATTTAATATGGTGGTTTAATATGAAGTCATACTCATAAGAAATAATTGCAGCTATTTTGATATTGTAGAAGCTGTCATTATAGCACCAGTCCTTGCAAGCAAACTGTTGATATACTTTGTGTGCAGAGTCGTGTAGCGGTCAAGAAATTCAAATGGTTGATGTAAAGAAATTAGGCTAGCAGGGGAACTGGTTTTTCTTAGCATGAATAACTAAGAAATCTCTCAATTACCAAAAATAGATCACGGCCAGAATTTAGGAAATACGGAGTATTCTAGAGCATGTTTCCTTATAGGTGTTCGAATTACCAAATCTAGCAGATTTCTTTTCTCACGTAAGTCTCGATAGAATAAACGACACCCTGAAACAAAGGAATAGGCGTGTTCTATCACACATCCATGGTAACATAGGCATCTATGTCACATTCGTCTTCTTTATCTACGGAATAATATTTTTCATTGCTCAACTTACAGACCAGCACAATAAAGCCAGTCTTATATCAAATGCATTAAAAATTCCCATTCATAGTGGTATTTTCTTTGTCAACACCTTATTTTCATTGCATAGAAGATTCCAAGCACTTGAAACTATAAATTGTACACCGTAGTTCTTTACTTCTTTTCCACATAATTTCACCACACTCTCAAAAAACTCTCACCACATACTTCATATACTTTTCGAAAGTTTTTGTTGTCCTTATTTATATAGTATCCATCAACTATAATTCTTGGAACATTAAATACTTTTTCCCTATTCCGATCTTCAAAATCAAATACGGAACACATTGGAAAACATGTTTTGAACTAAACGTGTTGCAAGTTCATAAATAAGGTTAAATTTGGTGAAATGATGTTGTGATCTATTTAAAAATCCAATGCACCTGTCTTAATATACATGTCAGATAAATTGGACCAGTAAATAGGACCGGAGAGGGTAATAAAATAGACTTTGATTATACTCCTTTGCTGAGAGAGTTACTTCTTATGGATTTTCAAGATAATAACAGGTAAAATGCAGCTTCACATCACATAAATTAAAATTAGCTTTAACCAAATGGTAGTTCATAGTTTTTTAATCCATAAACAATGCTAAAATTACACATATCTTTCACCAAACAACTAAAATTATTGTGGAAAATTGCAATTCCAGCCTTGAAATCAAACTAATCCACACGATAAAACTATGAACACACTAAATAAATACGAGCATGAGTTTTCACATTAGTTAGAAAGCACTGGAATTACATGATTTCCCCATACTGCAAGCGTGTATTTTCTAAGAAATCAATTGAAAGTAAGAATTAATATCAGTAGATAAAAGAGAATCCTACTTACCCAGGAATAAGGCGGATGATCGGGAGAAGGTCTGGAATGGGGGAAAAACTCCCGGAGTTTTCGATTGACGAAACTCTTCTGGACTGGGGAGAGCGATTGGCTGGGCGAACAGCTCGCGACCATTTTCATAAGCAGAGCTCGGAGGTTTTCCGTTGGGTTCTTCGGACGGTAGGGGTTTTGCGCCGCCGCCGGCTCGGCCGCAGCGGGCCGCTGAATTCGGCGGCGTTTATGACCCATGATGCGTAAATTAGTTACGTAGCTATGTGAGGTTTATGTCGGGGGTTATTAGCTACTAATTAAACATTTGAACCCATCGGTTACTTTGTTTCTGTTGAGGCTTATTTTAATTTAATTCATAAATTGTTATAGAATTTATAAATTAAAAAATTACATTAAAAATTTTAAAAATATATATTCCTTCTTTCCTGAATTAATTTGTTTAGTTTCTTAATAAAATAAAATATAGGTAGTCAACAATCCTTTTTTCTACTTTCTCATCTCAATTTAAATTGTATGTTTATTATTCACATTATTAAATTTTAACCATATTTCTTATCCATTTTTGCTACCTATTTGAGATAATAATATAGTATTATCAACTACTGTTTTGTAGAATTTTTTTTGTAGTTTTTAAATTTTTAAATTTTCTTTTTTCAATTCCAAATCAATTTTTTAATAAATTGAATTGAAAATATCTTCAGACAAACCCCGTAAACAATAACAAGCAATTGAAATTAAGACGGGGAGAGTAATTAAATTTCAATCACTCGCTTTTTTTACTTTTTAACACTTTTCTTAAATTTCGTGAAGTAAAACTCGGATGATTAATTCAAAACGAAAGGGGTATAATAAAGCAATGTGTATTATTTTATGGAGTACCTCAAGTTTTACCCCCCCCNCACATTTCTTATCCGTTCATCAAACTTTTTATTTACACTTGAAAATCTATACTGAAAAGACTTGGGATACGGTATATCCCAAGTAATTTTGTATTTTATGGGATGAGTAATAAAAATAGAAAAGAAAATGATCAAACTTTTGACCATTTAAATAATTAAATGTTCTGTAATAAACAAGAAATTCTTTTTGCGACAAAGAGAATACGGAGTACAAAATACTCATAAAATTTACCTTGAACAATCAACATTGACACTTAAAACTACTGTAAATGAAAGTTAATAAAAATGTCTAGATATATAGCATGGTGTAAGTCATACATAGGGCACAAATGAAAAAAGTAACACCAATTTGTACACACTCATACATATTTTCTGATTACTTGTAATTTCTGGGGAAAAAGTAGTATATTTTGTCTTGACAAAATGGTCAGCCCTAATGTTACATTTTTTGAAAGAACAATGTTCAACATGGATTACACAAAGTAAACAAAGAGAATTTACACTGTTAGCCCATACTTAGCTTTGACTACAACAACATGGCTAAGGTCGCATAACAGCTCTTCTCTCCAAATATACTCTCACAACACATTTCATTTACATAAAAAGCTTATGAAAAACTATGGATAACATATTTTCAGGGGCACATATGTAGATGCATACTACCCTTCCGAGAGGTCTATTACAGGTCCGCGTCTTCGCTGAATTCTTCTATCTGCAAACCAGAGGGAAAAACCGATAAATCAAATTGTCATTTCACGCAATCATAGGGCAGAATCTAAGACAGATATGAATGCGATCGCGCAGTTAATTCTCACAGCCCGCTAGTGATTAATGAGTGTTCTAAGAATATGTTTGAGAACTTTGTCAATATCTTGACAAATATGGAATGTATTAAAAATGAATAACTGACCCAAATATCATACGATCACCTACTTATTTTTTTCTTATTACTTATTACTTATTCTTATTGGAATCAGATCGGATTAGATTAGGAATAGCTTTAAATATAACTATATTCAGATCAGATTAGACCAGATGAGAACTTATTCCAACCAGTTCAGGTGAAGAGAACAAATCCTAAGTCCTCGAAACTGTTATTCCCCCTTCGAAACCTACATCCAAAAAGACTTTGACTGTGTGTCGGTTGAGGGGAGGGGAGGGAAATGAGCAAAAGATTTCCTTCCCATCCCCACACCCTCCAAATGTTTACGGAGTATTTTCCCTCCCCCCCCCCCCAAAAAAAACACACCCTAAAGGAAATTTCATATTTGCAACAATCCTGCAAAGAACAAAAATGTATGCACACAGGTTTCAGTGTTACCCCACCATGCTTTCTTAGAACAACTTCTGTTATCTTCCTCAGCTTTGAATCCTTGATACCTACTTTTTTGATGGTCCTATAGAAAGACGGGCTGATCTTCTAGGCACGGTAGACACTCCTACATCTACTTGACTTTTTGAGTGTTTTGTCTTCTGCTTCTCGACGAGTAGCAAGGGAGAAATGCAACTGGCAGTAGCAGCTGCCATTTTCCTAGTTACTCTTCTTGTTTCTGGCAGTGACAAACCACCTTGCAAAACCTTCTGGTCTTCAGTACCTGCCATGAGCCCATGATCATTTAGAAGTGTCATACATACTTGAAATCTATGAACTAGGCTACATTTGTTTCCAGAATATTATTTTTCTGGCACTTCTTTTCTGGATTTTCTTGAATGGATGTACTTCCTGTGTTATTTGGGAAAATACAGCCCATTAAGAAAACATGAAGCTTATGCTTGGAAGTGGAAGAAATGAAGATTTATTAGTCTTCACATAACCTAATAGAAAGATATGAATAAAAATGATTTTGAATGAAATATTTCAAATGCACCTATTGAGCTTTGAACCAAGTTCCGTTTTTTTCTACATATTCTCTTTCCTTGAAAATGTAACTTTTATTTTCCTTCATATTTTTTCCCTACAATATTCGGTTTTTCAAAGTCCAAACCGATCCGAAGTCATTTTCCTAAAACGATTTAATGTTTTCTGATTTTGTAGGTCACGCATTATATTATACGAAGAAGATAGAACAATTTGTTTTCATGGAAAGTGACATTTTCCACGGAAATCCAAAGAAAGTTGTTTTCTCGAGCAAAGGGCACATAAGCTATAATTCTTGTTTCTGCTTTCAAAAACATTTGTAGATTTACCTGGTTCAGTCTTGGAAATCCGATGCCTTAACTGCCTTTGATTTGATAGCTCCTGTTTAGAATCCTCAGGGGAATCTGGTTCTTGTTGTTCCTCCACCTTGGGAGCATTCATGTTATTCTGTTGGGATTGGCAACACATTATTTCTTCGGCTTCATCTGTTGGAAACTGAAGTCCTAACTGCATATTATCAGGCTCAACCATCTCTGCCTCCACTTGGCTATGTTCTTCACAAACAACCATTTCTTGTTCGTGTTGACTGTTATGTTTTATATCAGTGTCTTCAGGTACGTTTGGCACCAAGGAAATTCTATGAAAGTATGAGAAGTAAAAGAATGAGGGATAATAGAAGGAAATAATATATGATTGAACATAAAAGAAAGGCTAAAACTCACTACTTCTATTTTAGATATTAGTTGACAATCATTTTTTATATTTATACTTGTTATGAGATAGCAAAACAATCTAAAGATATGTAAATTTGAATTAAAAATAAGAATGTTTCATTCTTCTTTGCAATAATTTCACACAAAAAATAAGAAGATAAGTTTCCTTAGCATTTTTTCCATTCCCCTAGTTTTTTCTGTGAACCAATTAACCAAACATACCCTTCATATTTCGGGACTTCAGTGCCAATAGAGGTCTGAACTGTGTCAAGAATTTGCTCGGGTTTAATCTTTTTTCTTGATCTAAGGCACCTTCCTGCTCCATGTTCTTCAGTATTTGGAGGAAGAACAATTTCTTTTCTTCTGTTCTGACATTTCCTGAGAACTCTCACCATCCCTTGCTTCTCTTTTTCATCTCCTAACTTTTTAGGTGATTCAGTGTCGGTGGTATCATTCACTAAATTTGTTTTATCTGCTCGATCATCCTTTTCTTTTAAAGTTACATCGGTCCCACATTCCCAATCCATCTTCTCCTCTTTTGTATTCTCTGGATGATTTTCTTCATCTTGTTCGTCCTGATCTTGATTTTTAACTTTTATTTCTGCATTATCTGCTTCCACCTGAAACTCCTCTTGATCCCCTTCTTCTTCCATCACATTCTCCTCTTGTGTCTGATTCTCTATGCTGTGCAGGGAACTTTCTTCAACATCATGTTGAAGGCCTGGGCAATCTTCTTCTGCATTCATCTTGATTTTTTCATTTAACAGACCATTTTGACCTTCCGCTTCCCGTTGACTGTCATTATGCTCCAATCCTGACGGATCCTGTCCTTCCATCATTTCATGCTCATCTTCGTCATTTTCTGCTTCGATGACATCACTTCCATCCTCTACCCCTGGATTTTGCTCTTCTGTTCCTACATCTGTGGGGACCACTAGTAATTCCCCGGCATCTAGAATTCTAACTTGTTTCACCTCTTGTTCTGTCATTTCCATGTCCTGCCATTCCATTTGATTTGCTTCTTCAACAGCATCAATGGTCTCTTCATCCGAGGGAGCTTTTCCTTTCCTCTTTCCTTTCTTGGGTAGCCTACCCCGAACCTTCCTCTTTCGCACCAAATGGATGTTTCTCTTCTTAGTTGGTCTTTGCTTTCTCTTCTTGATTCCCACCTTCTTTGGTTTCCTCTTCATCTTCCTCCCCTTTCTCTTTGAACAACCACCACTGGTGGTGCTATCACTATCCATATAATCCACACTGGGGCTAAAGCTAAGGCTACAAGTAGAACTGCTAGATGGGCTGCTAGAAACTACCGGGACGGGGGTATTTTGCTCTTTGATCAGATAGAGCCCATCTCGAGTCCGAACAATATCACCCTTCTCACATAATTTTGTCAAGTGGTGTTTGAGTAGAGCTGAGTGGGCCCACGGCAACTCAGGATTGTTGCTCACTATGCACTCTGATATTGCCTCCTCACTAGAACCGCTTTCCTCATTCAGATCTTCAATTGCTTTTCTAATCATCTGCCATGTTTGAAGCACACCACACCAACCTCAATATATTACTTCATATAAATTAAAATGAACTATCAAGAAAATGGTGACCTAATAAACATCACAACCCCCTAACGGTGAGACTCATAAGCAACACTGAAAGAAGCGAACAACTGGAAACAGATTTTTCTTGACATCTTGTTGCAAATTATAAAACTTGGCCAAGCATGCAGAAGCTAAGTGAATAGAAAATCCTTTTTTTTTAAAATAGACATGTTCCAAGGAGTTTGTATGAGATGGGGTGAGAAAATTAAAAAAGCCCCAAATTTTAACAATCCCTAGTCCAATTGCATCTGAAAACAATTGAATAAAAACATAATATTCACTCCAACATTTCAATATTAGTCAAGAATCAGCATCAGATCAAGAATTTTAAAAAAACTAGCTAGATTAGCATAATAAGAACAAAAAATATATAGTAAAAAAACCCTCATTTTCAAATGAATGAACACAAATAGAAGAAGAGTGAATAGCTAACAGAAATCAAACAGAGACTTGCCCAGGAGTAAGGAGGATGATCAGGAGCATTGAGATAAGGGAAACACTGGCGAAGCTTCTCTTCGAAGATCGAACTTTGTGTAGGGGTTAGGGATTTGTACGGAGAAGATGCAATGGCTAATCTCATCATCAGAGCTCTGAAGTTCTGCGATGCAGAGTTTCCTTCTTCGTTGCAGTTCTGAGATTCGAAATCTGCTTTCTCAGGATGATTTACCGGCGGCGTCGCCGGCGGCGGAAGAGGTGCCGGAGTGGGGCGGTCCATTTCCTGAGAAGGGAACATGGTGGAATGCTGGCTTGGCTTGTTCCCGTAGTTCTAATTGTGACGGTCCGCCGGTCCATCGTACTGTTGGGTGAATGAGTTAGCTCCTTTTTTTACTCCTCTTTCTCTATTAAGGAGTACTCCCTTCGTCCTAAAACTTTTTTTCCAGAGCACTATTTCAACTTCACGGGAATTTATATTTATTTGTGTTTTTTCATGGCCTATATGATAAAATAAAATATTCTTGTCACCACTTGTTTTGTTGAAATTTTGATGTAGTTTTTAAATATGTATGTTTTATTTTTTATTTTTTTACCAATATTTAAATAAAATAGATTGAAAAAACTTGGGATTTTTCTTCGTTTTGCGCAACGGGAAGAAAGTTTTAGGACGGAGGGAGTATTTTCTTAGGGGCTCTTTGTTTAGCTTGATGTCTGAATTGTTCAGCACTTAATGGTTCAGACTGTTTGTTTCAGCCTTTTAATGATTCAGATGTCTTAATGGTTAAGAGATTTTGCCTCTGAATGGTTAAGTATTATACAGAGTCTGAATGGTTAAGACCTCGTATCTGAATTAATCAGACATTTGTCTCTGAATAGTGTTGGAACACACTTTGCACGTTAAACTAAAGTCGTGTTTATTTCTGACAGGTTTTGATAATTGCCAAACCGCCGTGGATATGAAGAGTTTCGTTGAATAACTCAAGGCGTGAAGAATGGCTTGGAACAAGACCTAAAAGACTCAAGGACAAGATCAAGAATTGAAGACTTAGTCGAGTCGGTCTTTTGTGATCAAAACCGACGATTTATTCAAGTCTCGGTTCTCAAAAAGTCAAAATTATTTTACAAAATCATAAAATGTTTTTATGCATCAAAATAAACATTTTAGATAAATCTCTTTATCGTTAAATCCCTGGTCCTTGCTCAGAACCAAAACCACCTAAGTCGGCGTTCGGCTTTCGGCATTCGGCGTTCGATTCTTGGCGCCCGAACGAACTCCGTGGTTTTCAATATTTTAAACCTTGTTTTTATCTCTGAGCATATTTTAAAGGTTCCCGAATAATTATTTTGTAAAAACCACTTTTGTATCCTAGTCAATCGGTCTAACACGAGAAAAACGGTCAAAACCGTACGCACGTGATTTACGACCTTGAGGACTTGGTTTTTACCAAACAAGTCTTGTTTTCACTTTTTTATACCATGTACAATGCTTTTCATACTTGGTTTTTACTTTTGGGAACACTTCGTTTTTGGACCTCGGTTTCTCAAA